CAACAATAAGCTGTTTCTTACAGCTTAGTTCCAAGCAATCTTTATTGGTGATACCCCTAATTAATGACCTTATAAATGTAGGCGCGACATATAACTTTAAGCTACTTAAAATTAACTAATATTAACAATTATTGTAACAATATTTTTAAGATCAGTGTGAGCCTACATTTAACCTACTGACATTGCCTATTATTTTTTATTTTTGTTGTTATAGTATGACATAACGTTGTGAAAATCATGAAACATAAGTCTTTGATGATAGATAATATGCCCATGACTATGAAAATTTTAATTCGAATTTTAATGCGGATTTTTGCTGCGGAACTCAACGCAGGACGTGCATTTTAGTTATCATATTTCGGAAATTATTGAGACATTATTTCTATGAAGGCCAGGGGAGACCCCCCGAATTCGCTTGAATTTTAAGCGATTTTCTTTGTTAGCTATTCTATTGTGAAGTTCGACCAAAATCTGTCCTGTAATTTTTGCGTGAAAGACAAACATTTAACATTTATATCCATAGAACCAAGTTCACGTCCTGCGTTGAGTTCCGCGTTCATACCATAACCCTGGATTTGGTTTGGTTGTTCTTTGGCCTTGGATAACGACATCGATTGTCTAGCCTTATGGCCTAGTAATAAGGGAGTTTTCAAATCCCATGAACAGTCTTGATAACAAGAAAAGAAGCACCTTGGAACGTTTTCTGATTGGTGAAATAAATGGTGTCAGCCAGTCAGAAGGCATTGTAGTTAATCCACACAACACCTTTCTGATTTTATACTGTCCTACCTCATTATGACTTTAGCCTTAGTACATTTCAATTGGGTGTTGTTCTTTTGTAACTATTTAATTTACATACGATGATTATTTATCAATACCTCTTAATTGACATAAATGTGATATAAGAATTTCAGTTCGTCGAAACATATTATGTCAAATAGGAGGTGTATCAGTTACTTCAGCGTCGAATAACTATTTATCAGAATGATATTTGTCACCAAAGATGAGGCTGTATATGATTTCAAAACTATTATTCCTATGCAAATAGTTTATTTACATCCATTCGTAATTCATATCAGCGAGTACCTTAAAATTAATATAATTTTATATGTTTACACAAACAAATCTGGTGATAAGACAATATATTTTATTCTATTCTAATACCTTTATTGTGTGCCTCGGTTTATGAAGTGTGGTGTTGTTAGGCACATGTAAAAAACTATATCATTGCACACAACTTGCTATGGCCTTATTTGAAAGATATTTTAGATTTATACGTCATATAGCGTGTATAATAACGGCTGTTACATATTAGAATATATGGTAAATGAGACAGGAGGTATTTGTTGTGATGTATAAGTTCAAAAAAAATCTGAAAACTCTTAGTCTTGTGATAATTTATATTAATATGTGAATAAATGATGAAGTATTAAAAACAGCTTTTTATTTTTCGTAAGACACCTTTAAATATGATTGTCATAGAGGTTACAGTGTATTTTTTCAATATCTATAATAGGTACTAAGGTTGGGTTGCACCGTCTTACTTTGACTTTAACAAACGTCAGAAGTCTGTCAAACTCCATACAAAAAACACTGGATAACGTTATAGTTACTGCTAAAATTTGGTGCAACAAAATCCTGTTTTGCAATATTGTTTTCAGGGGAATTTAGTACACACCTAATGTCTTGTTAACAATTTTGACGTGCAAGTCGATAAAAAATTCGTGTGTATCAATTCAAAGTTGCTGAGATGACGCGCTTGGTGAAGTAGTTTATAACACCAGCAGGCTGCTGTGCGGTTCGAATCCTGCCAGCTATAAACTTACATGGATTTCTGAATTTTCCCGTAACTTTGTAGTCTGAAAAGTTGTACTTAATGGGGCTATGATTAATTGCATTGCATTTGCAATCACCAATTTGGTGCCACCGTCAAGTAAAGTCCTAATATTCGCCAGTGGCGCCAACTGGTGAGCGAAAAAAGAAACCCTCATTGTTTTCGATTAGAGAAATTGGAATCGACGTTATGTTTAAATAAACGAATAAAATCGATAATATAATAAGACGAAAATGAAAGATGTAGGATTGTAGGTATGAGATCCACTAGATAAATATTTATTTTTTAAATGGTAATCTTTAAGTTCATGAAACAGTTACCTCGTACTACAGTTGTCTAATTTCGTTGAGCTGAAACGAGTGAAAACAGTGATTTAGTTAAATAAAACTACCTCGAGCACGAATAATCACGGCTTCTTGATACCATAGATAAATATTATCTATGTTCATACAAAACGATTACGATACCACAATGGAACGATATTTATTCGTGCTCCGGGTACTGTACTCTATGGCGGTTCTCTTTAAAAACAATTTTTAAATACCCAAGTGAAGTGATGCAAGAGGACTTCGTGTGCTACGCGACATCAAGATGTTCCTACCAAAGAAAAGTAAATATTTTATATTACCTACATATTATTTTTATTGCTTAAATAATTTAAAGTATGAATGGGGGAATGCTAGGTGCGTATAGCACAAGAAGTGTGAAATGGTTTCTGGTCGTTTAATTTTGTGAGAATGGTGTGTCTTGCTGCCTTTTTATGTAAATTGCTGTAACTATTATTATTTAATATAACGATATTTATATTACGATGAGACTTTATGCTTTATTGTAAAGAAGCCTTCACGTGCTTATATTCACGTGAGCGTATGCAGTTTTTGAATACAGCTATACGCAATGCACACCGTCACGTCGCTATGTGAATTTTCAGGCCTAGATCTAAACTTGGATAGCTTGGGTAACCCTAAAAGTGACTTTTCAGATAGTACTTGTTTATGGGATAGTTTTTATTCCCTTTATGTTAAGGAAGCTAATGATACCTACACAACTTAATACTTTAAGTAGGTACTTTTGTAAAAGATTTCTAGTTTGATTTTCGAGTTTAGACCTAGACGTTTATATTATTTGCGTTTATTTTATTCTTACCAAAAACTTACCAATGATGTCTTTTGTTGACAGCACCTGAAGTCCTGGGCAGGGAGCCCTACGGGCATGCGGTGGACTGGTGGTCTTTGGGGGTCATCGCCTGTCGCATGCTGACGAATGAGGTGAGTGGACATCTTACTTTAATCCCTAGTAGTCCGATCAACGAAGCTTTTGTAACCCGAATAATTCCTCTGCCTATGAAACTTGGCACACGATGAAATGACCTACATGAAGGAAATAGGAATCTCCTCTTTGGATCGGACTATAGGTCACACATATTGCGATAACTATCACGAAGTGTTTAGCCAAGTATACTTCAGTGCTTTTTTCCATAGTCATATGTAGGTAACTGTTAAAAGAACTTCGCTTCGTTATATCGCACGAATGGTATCGCGATGTGTGTGACCCAGGGGTATACGGAAACTCGATTAAGCCTTAGCGCAGACCACCGACTTTTGTTTGGCCGATAGTTGGGCCCGATTTCAATTTGTATGAAGAATCGGGCGATACCAAATCGGTGTAGGGTGCGCACTGTCATACATCTTCATACTAATTAACACCCCGACTCAACTATCGGCTAACTAAAATTCGGTGGTCTGCGCCTAGGCTTAGACGTTTATAACAAAATTCTTTATGACAATTTTGGATAATATTTAATAATTTAAAACAATCGAATTACCTGGTGGGAATCGAACCCACGACCCTTCGCTGGCCCGGAAACTCCTTCGAGTTTAAAAAATTTTGTTTGAGATGCAACTTTTAACGCTATAAAAATTAATAAAAAAGGTTTATTAGGGCAGGGCTATTATTATTAAAGCCTTAATTATTATAGGTGCTTCGACGTTTACCAGACAGGTGTAGTCGTAAAAATATGTAATTACCTGAATTATAGGTTTACTTATCTTTTATTTAATCTTCTTTACTTCTATTAATGTACTTAGATAGGAAAATATTTACAAAAATAATTACAAACAACATTATTATCCCGTGTTTGAAGAAGTGTATTACGCTTGAAAGCGTATACATATTATAATGTAACAATATTGCGTTAGGTACTTTATAATTTTTCATAAAAACATGGTGTTTTTACCATGGAATTGGAATGACTCAGATGTTTTGTACTTGATTTACGTGGTTAATGGTTATGTTTAAAGATTATTGCAAGATAAAGGCAATATTGAGATCATGATAAGGCAAGTATCGTGACCGAAACCTCAAAGTAAGGTAAAACAAGGTTTGTTATGCTTTTTCAAATTGATAGTGTTATGAGTGTCCATTAGCCTCCGGATTTAGGGGGGTCGTCACCATATGGATTACATACTTATGTAAAAGATATTTAACCTTCTTGATTTATTTATTGTATGATCAGTTAGAATTCCATCAATTCGTTGAGCAAACAAAAGTTCTAGCAATCAACAAAATAATATGCTACTCCAATTAAAAGATATAGGTAGGTAATTAATTAATCGTTATTGTAAAAATCAGTAGTAGGTAATATGTGGTAGGTAGTATGTTTTATTTTAAAAAACTCATTGGTTTGTGTTGTTATGAGTCATAATAACCACTCGCATTCTAATTTTATGTTTTAAGATTTGTTTATTCATGGTGTATTTAGGTATGTGGTAAACAATGAGATCATCTTTGTCAAAAATGATATTTCGCTTTACATTTGTGATACTTGTTCATTCTACAGATAAAAATATGCTATGTCAGTCTCTAACTCTATCCTTAGACTAGGCGCACACCGTTGATTTTTCGTCGGCCGATAGTTTAGTCGGGCAGTTGATCAGTATGGGCATGTATGGGAGTGCGCACACTACGCCGATTCGATTTGGCCGATTCTTCATACAATTTAAAATCGGGCACAACTATCGGCCAATTAAAAATCAACGGTGTGCGCCTACTCTTACAAATTGGATAGACAGAGTTTGGATCAAAGGAAATAAAAGTCGGTTTATTATAAAAACATATTTTATTACTTATAGTACTTACCGGAAATTCGATAATTTACTTTGAGAAATAATAATTACAACGCAGGTAATTTTTCGATTCGGCTATTTAAATAAGTCTCTAGGTCTTCTAGTGAATAGACGGGAATACCCACGCAGACGCGTCAACGTGGCTTTTGCCACTCACTCAATCACATATACATACGTGCATGCATCACATATACATACGTCGCGCTGCGGCGCGGCGCACCGGCCGCGGGCGGGGGGCGGGGGTCGAGGGCCGTCGACCCACGCCCGCCGCTAGCGCCATCTCACTCAAACTAATCTAAGATTTGGGACTCTTCTTCTCGCCGCTCTCCTCGGAAGAGTCCTCTCCGCTCTCTTCCTTCTTCTCGCTGCTCTCTTTGCTCTCCTCAGAACTGTTTGGGGCTGGGGCGTCACCTTGCGGCTTCTCTTTGGGTTCCTCGGGCTTTGGTTCACTGGGTTTCTCCTCGGCGGGCTTGACTGGCTCGAACTGCACGGGCTCGGACTTTTCAGCCGCAGCAGGGACAGCGGGCTCAGCGGGGGCGGCGGGAGCGGCGGCCTCGACTTCCTTGGCCTCGCTGGGCTTCACGGGTTCGCTTAGGGCGGGCTCGTTGGCCTTTCCTTCCTTCACGGGCTCGGCCTCCTTAACAGCTTCCTTAACAGCTTCTTCAACAGGCTTGGCCTCCTCGGGTTTGGGCACCTCTTTGACCTCCTCAACCTTAGCTTTCTCCTCAACGGTGTCACGAACCACGCGCAGACTGTCTTCGGCGGCAGCTTCGCTTGATTTGGCAGCAGGTACTTCAGCAGGCTTCTCTTCGGCTTTGGTTTCTGCGGGCTTCTCTTCTACGGCCGCAACGGCAGCGGGAGCAGATTCCTCTTTCTTTTCTTCAGCGATGGGTTCGGCACTCTTGCCTACAGGTAAGTCGATTTTCTTCTCGGGTGTTGGGATAATGGCAGCGGGGTCAACCACATCATCAGCGACTGCGGCAGGAGACTTGATTGCGGTAACGACGTCAATGGGCTCTTCGGGAATAGACTTGGCTGCTGCGGCGTCATCAAGAGGCAAAACTTCCTCTGCTTTAGCTGACTCTTCAGGTTTCACCTCAGGAGCAACTTCGCTGACAGACTTAGGCTCTTCTGGTTTGCTTTCTTCGGGCTTAGCTTTTGCAGCTTTGGCTGGCTCGGCAGACTTGGATTCAGGAGCCTTGTCCTCTTTTTTCTCTTCTTTCACTTCCTCAGGTTTGGGCGCCTCAGCTTCAGCTTTAGCTTCGACTGGAGCACTCTTGACTTCAGGTTCAGGAGCTTTCTCTTTCTCAGGCTCTGGTTCAACTTTCTTTTCTACGGCAGCTGGTGGAGAAATAGCTTCGGGTTTTGGTTCTTCAGACTTGACCTCTGCAACTTGAGCCGGTACCTCGACGGGTTTCTCCTCAGCTACTGGCATGGCCAGACTCACAGCCGCGAAGGCCAAGCATAATAGTACGACCTTCATCCTGTAAAAAAAGAAAACATAAAATTAGTTGATTGACAATAATCACTACTACGACTAAGTTGTAGATTTGAATGCACGTCTAAATCGTGAGTGTGGTAAGGCCAATGTTACGCGTCGACCGGATTCAACGTTTCGCAGCAATTTTCTGATTAAGATTGAATTGTCTAAGGGTCTGATGCGGTGTGGAACGAGAACCTATTTTCTAGTTGCTTTCAATTATTGATAAAAAGGATGTAAACTATTTGTGAAAGCCAGTTACGAGCTTTCGCAACGTTATTTCTCATGAGCCTGTTCCTATAAGTTATTGATGCTTGTAATGAGATAAGACGCTGTTGGATATTAAGTTAACGATATGTGAGTAGCTCATCTATTTTCCATTAGCTCGGAAGGTCGAGCACCTCGGTTTCTATTTATAGCAGTCTAAGCAAAGGTAGGGCATTAAGTCGATATCCCAGGTCCTGCTGGAATGCGGTCTGGCGCCGCTCTGTAAATAGATTATAGCCTGTCGGGGATAATCGTTTTAAAATAGCTAAAATACTAGTCTCGGCATAAGACGCTAGGGTGTAATTATGTTGGGTCTAGATGAGCTAGTTTCTTCTAGATGATTATGCGTGTTTACGTACTTTGTAGATATTATCGTATATTTTTAGTTCTCACAGGTAAACAGGATCGTGTTTATAAAATTGCACACGATGGACGCTTCCTAGCGCGTGCGAGCTAGGCAGGATGCGCAACGCGCGCTGGAAATATGGATGATCCGTCCAGACGTCGGCAACACATTATCTGAATTTTAATTGGCTCATTGAATTGAATTGCCACTAGAATACATTTCATGTCAACGTATGAATGATTCACATTTTGCCAGTCGGACGAGATATCTCTGTAATTTTATCGCAGTAAGATTCAGCGAGCGTTAAAATAATGAGTGCAATGTCTCCCGATTTTTTATTTGCCAAGACGGGATAGCCGTTTCAGCTTTATTTTTATGTCTTTTCGATGTTGGAGATTCAAGTTCAGCGTAATGGGGTCCGGTTTCATAACCTGGTCTCGGTGGTTACCACTTATTACGTACGACCTGTTTTAACTTCACATAATCTGATGCGCCTCTTGGTTTCTTTTGATTGCAGCCTCTCGCAGGGCTTGCTGTCTTTTTTTCGAAAAAAAAATCTATATTTATAAAAATGTGAGAGAGTTTTTTTATAAACTTGAATAGTCTGTGCTTGATAGTACATAATATCACGCATACCGGTTGATATCTGATTTTTATTTGGACCAAAAAAACGCCCACAAGTAGACAGTCATAATCTTTAGGCTTTAGCATTTGTAATAAATGCTTCACAAACCATTTCAGTAACAAGATTTTCGTATTTTAAAATCAGTCGCACAGCCCTAATGAGAGCTGAATCACTGATAAAAAGTGAATAAATCAATGCAGTTTTTCGAAACTGGTTTCTTGTGTAGACTTCAGTAGCAGGTCATCGACGTATATTTTTCGTGTTGCCGATGTTTTAGTGAACACATCGGTGTGATCAAGTACATCCACCGGCTATTGCCTTGCCTCACTCGATCTTCAATTCAGATTACTTTTTTTACTTTATTATTACCGCAAACGGCTTTCGGTTTCACAATTTTTAAAACGCACAATTTATGACGCGTAATTTCGATGTCTGGTGCGCACGTACTTACATGTTCACAGCAATTTAAATTTTAATGGGATTTTCAAAGAACTACATCATTTTATGAAAAGTTGTGCAGATATTAAAGGTTTCTCTAAAAATGGATAGATAGAATTTGGAAAATGGTTTTGATGAACTGGTCAATTTAATCTAAAACTTCACAATTTTCTTTTACCACTTCATCTAGACAGAAAATCATGACTTGTCTACAGTTTTAATACGAATACTAAAAGCACATTGTACACGAAGCAAGTTTAAGATGCCCTATGCATTGTAATTGCGCTGCATTGGTTTTCCCCACTTAGCCTGATTTATGCCTTTATTCAGTTGTTATTTTCTGGAAGGATATCCTCGCCGAGGGCAAGCATTGTCGCCTTCCCACGTCGTTGGAGGGCAATCTTCCAATTGAGTCTAGCGCACGCTTCTCATTGGTTCAATGAAAAAATTTGCCGACCGCCTCTGTTAGTACCCCACTGCATGTATCCCCACGTGATTCCGTAGAGCGTGAATATACACATACGATATGCGCTTAACATTTTTAACGGTGATTTAATTTATGTGGAATTGATTGATAACGACTATGCAGAAACGTGATTGTGGTATTTAGTTATGATTCAGCTAAATTGTGTTCTTGTAATCGCTATTATGGCATCAGAAGTGTCTGATTTTGAATGTAGAGTCCTTGATATTAACTGTTTCACGCTTTGTGTTATTTAGTTTATAAATGTGACCAGACTATACCTAGAAACAGTTATTTGTCTGGTTGAATAGATGAATTTCTAAAACTGTTCGACCTGATAGCGGGCCTTGTAAAATTTTGTCTATTATGCTGGTTGCAACACTGTCCAGCGTCATGGCTGGCTGCGTTTGCGCAACACACATTTTGTTGATCACCCCTATTGAACCGTGACAGACCATTTGTCTCAGAACGTGAGATATAGTATCGAAATTAATCGATATGCTAATTTGATGCTGTGGAAGTAATTTTATTCCAATACCCGTGTAGAGCCTTCGAATAAATGTTAACATTGCTGCGTTTTATATTCTATTGATTGCTTTTACAATAGCGTTTGTAAATCAGATGTTTCGAACATAAATACGAAGAAGCTAATAAATACAAAGTAAATTTTTTGAGGGATTGCTATAAAATATCGTCAAATGCTAGTTATTTATTTACTTGTGCACTTTGAATGCGTAATGCCATGGCAGACCACACACACGTTCTAAAGCTCTTGAAGGCATGTCTGCATAGTAAAAGGAATTGTGTCATTTAACTGCGAACACATTAACATAACTATCATAAACACTTGAAAACCTGGTAAATCTTTCTTCTGAAGAGACCTAGGAGTTAATCACCACAATAAACAAGCCTATCGCAAAACAGGTATGCAATCAGCATTATGTCTGTTATAATGCTGCTGTACAGCTTGCCATAGAGATTTCCTTCGCTTTGTGGTTCCATCGAAATGTTACAAGGCTCTTCGTATCGTGCATTGTAATTATGTTCACCATAATAGCCCAGTTAGTTGTATCTGCAGAATGCATCGCACACCTATTTTTTAATAAAATATTTTCTTATATAACCGTTATGTATGTATTGGCAATATAAAAGATTGCGCAGATGTCGCCGGAATTGATTGACTGTGTCGCTTTGCACAATTTTAAGCGATTAAATAATTGTTAGTTACAAAGACAATATTTTGATTAGGAAATTGTTGACCCGAAACTTGACAATAGTTTCTACATAAAAGGCACTTGAAACGGTGTGATTTCTGGGCTCTTCATATTGTTTGGCTGAAGCTGTTTTCCTATAATACCTACCTATTAGGTGGACTAAAATATTTATTTAATTCTAAAAATTTGATTATAATGGACTATCAATATTTAAAAGTCTCAGATTAAATAGATTTTAACATAACATTCCTAATGTTCTATTTCTGTACATTGTCGCATGATTATTCATACATTCACTAGCCGTTTAACTCAATCGCTTAGACTTCATTGAACACATGTGAAATCGCAAAGCGTGAAATCGACACTGAAATAAGATTAATATTTCACACAAAATCATGACACTACAAAATAACATGTTTCATTTACAAATATACAAAGTAATTTTGTAATCTCCGTACTATCTTGAAGAATCGTGAGCGTTTGTCGATTCAATTATAGAGCTTATATGGAACAATTTGCTTAGTTGAGTCATTCATTGGCACTATCGGTATGGGAACCACGTATTCTGAGATAATGGATATTACTAGATTGAGTTATTTTAACTAAGTAGGTACCTCGGTTCCAGGTTTGCTTTTTGCACAAAAAGCTTAGGCAGAGTTGCACCACCTAAGTTTGACCGTAAAAACCGGTGTATTTTGTATGGAGGTTGAAAAATTATTGACGTTTGTTAAAGTCAAAGTAAGTTGGTGCAACCCAGCCTTAGTGTCTTCTGGAGCATAAGTATTTCTTTACAGAATGTTCAGTTGATTCAAACAATGAAATAATTTTATTTCCGCGAGTTAGGATCTCTGAGGCATACACTGAATGTTTTTGGATTATTCACGAACTCCGGTAACACAAACGCAAGCAAAAATCTATTTAGTTTGTGAATAAGTACGAAAGTAAATGAAAAAAATCCCAAGAAATGTCGCTGCTAGAAGTTTCAATCACTAGTTTAATCAGAATACTTATGTAAGTACTTTGTATGTCTGTTATCTATTCGTATTTACTCTATAAGAAATGTAAATTGCGTGGGTTCGTCACCGGGCGCCATTTGGTGGCTCATTCCAGAAATCTCCCAATAAATTGTCAGGGGCATCGTCAAATTTCAAAATAACAGGTTTGGCTTTCTCCATCAGAATGCAGCAATTCTTGGGAAACATAATAAAATTAATTTACATTTATACAACTTGCATCATTTGGGTACGTATGGCATTAACTATTGCTCGCATGTAAATAAATTGTGAGCATTAAAAGGTTTAAAAGGCATTAAGTTAAAATACCAGACGGACATTATTATTGTGAACCCGTTTACCTGTTATGTTTACAATAATAATGACATTAACAAATTCTTTATTTGCACAAGAGTCCGTATCAAAGGATGCTAATAATATTAATGTGCATATATTGCCAAATTTTTGCATGCAAAACAAGGTTATAACATCCATGATATTGATAAAGTACTTAAATAATCATAAAATTTAGTATCCATGGTTAAACGGCCTATTGAAGAACACGCTATAACTGACTCTAGTTTTCAATTTCTGCTATCGATATCGTCTTAGTTTTTAAGTATAACGACTCTATAAAATCCCTTGGCGAGAATGTCTTG